CCTTCAATCTGAGAGGTAAGACATCAGTTCACCAATACAAATCATAATGAAACATATAAAACTGTTTGAGCAGTTTAATTGTGTTTTTACAGAAACTATGCTTGAGTCGAAGCCAGCTATTGAAAGTACATTTACTAAGAAAGTTCTTATTAAGACCATCGAGACCAGAGATGGACAGGTATGTGTGTAACTTATCACAGTATATCACTTCTTATGCTTAAGTGAAAAGTGCTTACTGGGTGTATCTCACAAAAACAAGGCCTGGTTAGTGAAATGAAATAAAATATATTAAAATACACTAAAAATTAAGTATATGATAGGATTAAGTTTTTGCATTTTGACATTATTATTATTATTATTCTTTCATTATTTTAGTGAAAATTAATCACTTCCCCCATGTTTTGTAATTCATTTATTTTTATTTAATAATTCACATTTATCTCTGTTAATTTCTCTCATTTACAATATTACATTTTGTGAACTTAAAGTTCTATAATGAACCTGAAATCTAATCGCAAGTCAGTGATTTCATTTGGGTCTCTCATGAACACTTCCACTCTTCTCTTCCATTAAGGTGATCAATGAGTCCACTCAGAACCACGATGACCTAGAGTGATGAAGGAATTCTTCTACTGCTGTCATCCACTGCAAGCAACCAAATGCAGCACCTTTCTGTATCCCAACTATATGAGCAACCCGCAATAACCTGCTTCAAAGTATCTGCCTATTTTTTCTATCTGCCAGAAAGATGCCTTACAAGTGTTTGAGCCTGTAGAGGAAGTGTAGAGATAGCACACAAGCACAGAAACAGACATTTAGCGTACTGTGAACCTTTTTATTGTTTGAACCTGCATTTATTTTCCACATAGCTTTTTTGAGACAACATAATTTTGCTTAAGCAAAATGCTCCAATAAAAACAATCAAAGAAGAGTTTGTATTCATAAAGAACCTCATTCTTTGTCTAAATGTTCTTCCATGGGCTATTGTTAGTATTATTATTATTATTATGGTTAATTTGCTAAAAACAAATACATTTTTAAAAGCCTTAATTACAAAAATCCAGAATTTTTTTTTACATGATTCCATTTTTAGCGGATTTTTAATTGATTCTGGCTCATGGATTGGTTCAAAATAAATTCCAACAGGACTCCTGTATAAATGCCTCAGTATATTGGATTAGTGAGAAAAAAAAATAAAGTTTTGAGGTGAAAAATAATTGTGTGAATTAGTAGAGAATTATATATATATATATATATATATATATATATATATATATATATATATATATATATATATATATATATACAGTATACAGTCTTTTAATACTCTGTTCCTGGTCTTGGAACTGGTCTTGGGTTTGAAGTCCATCATTGCCATCTTGTGGACCAGAAAATAGGCGCATCCTCAAGTTTAAAGTCCCCATGAAATCAAAATTAAAGTTTTTTGGGTGTTAGTATCAATATGTTAGTCTATAAGGCAGTGCGCTCCAAAACAGTGACAAAATTCACATTTAGAAGATATAAGCATTCAAAGCTTGCAGTTCGTCACTTCCGCCAAAACGGCTCAACGATGTTTTTGACGTCACATCGTACTTCAGCTTCTCATCAAACTTTCTGTCCAATCAAATGCTCTCTAGAATCCGAAGCCCCGCCCCCTACACTATAAAATAGACGCTGAAGCCGCGGCTGAAATCGGTCACTTGTCCACAGAATTAGTATTTTCTGTACAGTGAATGGCACGTAGTGCACTATATAGGGGACAGGGAACGATTCAAACAGTGTAAATATGCTTTCCATTGAGGAAAAAAAGAAGTCTGGTTTCGCGCTGTGTCACGCTAACCACCGCACCGCACACACACTCTGCTCCGGTCCAGAGACACGATAGCACGGAGCGGATCACATGCGCAAGTCGGCGCAGACCACAAAATGTATCGGAGCTATTTGAATTCTACACAAAATGCTATATTTTATAGCATTATGGGTGAGATTGTGGCTAGCATACCCTGTCAAATGCGACTTTACGTAGCTCAACGGCTCTGAACGGCTCTAGCCCAAGCTGTGATATAAACGAACGCTATTGGCTATTTTAAAAAGGGGCGGGGCTGCTTGATATGTCCCGCCCTGTCTTCCTGTTCAGCTAAAATGACGTCAACACAGAGTAATAATCACACTTGCTCTGATGGCAGCAGGTAGCCTTCCGTTAACTAAGCTAAACATGCTTAAATTAAGGGTGTATTCACACAAGGAAAATCCGCTAGTTCACTTGATTTGGTCCGGACCAAATACAATGTTATTTTAAATTTTTTGGTGTGGTTCGCTTTCACACTGCCCTTTTTGCAAGTGAACAAGAAATTGTAAACAAAACCACAAGTCTGCTAAGGTCATCCATTCATTGGACAGAAATTCTGAAGCGTACCAGAGTTCGTTTGGAACCGGACCGAGACTACCTCTTCAGCTGGGCAGTGTTGCCAACTTAGCAATTTTGTTGCTAAATTTAGCAACTTTTCAGACTACTCTAGCAACTTTTTCTTCCAAAAGCACCAAAGCAATAAATTTAGCTATTTAAAAAATTTATTTGGCAACTTTTAGCAACTTTTGATAAGTGACTCAAACGATATAAAAGGCACATTTTCCATCTAAATAATCACAAAAAGAGGAAACCAAATATGCCTAGCAGTACACAGATCACATGAATAAAGTTAGCTGCTATTTGCAATTGTTCAATTTAATAATAATAAATAAATAGTTGAATAATTGTTCATTTATGATACACCTTGTTAGTAGCTTGTACCAGTGATTGTTGATCAGTTAGTACACTGTAAGAAAAATATCTAGAAAAGGTACTTGTAATTTTCCAGGACATTATCCATTATCCATTATCCGTTGTAACCCTGTAACCCGAAAACACAAAATACAATGTGTAATTTAAAATGCAGGGAAAAAACCTGTGAAAAATCGATATGGAAAATGTCTTCATATTAACATAGTAGATTGTGCCCTATTTTTAAAGACTTGTCTTAGAGTGTAGCATTCTAACTAAATACTAATACACTGCTTATAACTAGCCTATAACTGTTCAGAATGTGTACTTTCACTATAGTTTATTACTTAATTTAAAAACAAAACAAAAACAAATTGAAATTGTTCAAAAATATGTGTTCAATTATTCAATGTTGCACTTAAAAATACAGTTATTTATATTTTATTTTATTATGCATTTATATTTTTACAAACAAATCTAAATTAACATATATAAAAGATATATTTTTGCTGAGATTTGATGTAGTGACAATTTTGCATTGTGATTACGTAATGACGTCAACGCGCAATGACATCACCACGTCATTTAGCAACTTCTATAGCAACATATCACCTTCTTTTTTAGCAACTTTCCCTGAAAATTAGTTGGCAACACTGCAGCTGGGTCTCGGTGTGGTTGTTTGGTCGCCACCCGAGTGCGATTGTATTCACACCTGCCCAAAAGATCCACACCAAGGGGGGAAACGAACTTGAATCTTCAATCGAACCAAACAAGACAGGTGTGAATACACCCTCAGTTTTAATGGACCTTTTCTAAACAAGGTGCTTCTCTCAGTGAGGAAAATCCGTGTCCTCTCTTAGTGGTTCATGTGGGACAGGAGGTGTGTTCCTGTCTGTTTGTTCCAGTGATGGAGATTTGTACTCCCTGGACACGAGTGATCAAGTTCCTGTTGGCTCCCAGGGAAGCACACCGAGAGCTCATGTGTTTGGTGTCATAACTCACTGGCATTTTTAAAGCAATAGCTCACAGAAGTGAAAATCATTTACCCCGTGTCATTCCAAATGCATATGATTGTCTTTCTTCTGTGTAATACAAAATGAGAATTTTTGAAGTATGTCCATGCTACTATTAATTCAGGGAGAGAAGAGTGACTGAATGGCTGTCAAGCTCTATAAAGGACAAAAAAAGTATCATTAAAGTAGTCCATACAGCTCATCCACTCCCGTTCAAAGCCATAAAGTTGCTTTGAGTGATGGACAAACTGAATTTTAAGTTGCTATTTTCTACAATCTTCCCATTTGTCATTTATCAAATCTCATTTACTCTCATTTGCACACATTTATGCATCATGATCAAGGGTTCAATGTCAGTTATTTCAGACAACATACTCATGCATCCTCTGGCCAATTAAAGCAAACTTGAATTGTTTTCAAAAACTGCTTAAAAATACATGTTTGTGAAACTTGGGGCAGCAACAAACTAGCTGGTCACACCAGTTTAAGGTGGTCAACTTGGTTAGGAAAATGTTGGTTAACCAGCTACTGGATAGTAGGACCTATAATGACCAGCTTAGAGTATAGGCTATAGCTAGAAACCAGCTATCAAGCTGGATTTTGCATCAGGAATTAAAAAGCAAACAGAGAAACTTCCTATGTCATGAAATGATGACAGAATTGTATATATATTTTTATAGCCCTTATTACTCGATTATGCAGATCAGAGAAGTACATTTTTGTAAAAGCAAAACTGTAAACAAAACTGTAAAAAAGCATAAACTGTAATAAGTAGGCTAGTGACAGTTTTGTTTTAAAATATTTAGAATATTCACAAACCAATTCATACCAAAATGATTTCTGTACACTGGAAATGTTTTCAATTTATGAATTAAAAATATGTTTTTTTATATTTATATGTTTGTGTATAAACATGAATGTCGCTTTCCAATGTCGAATCCCCCTTTATAAATATGATTACATATCATTTTAATTGCGAATGCAATTGTATGTATTTGTAGCTCGCCAGAGTCGGATTTCATTAATGTGATACACTTGACAGACTAATTACAGACGCTTGTTTTCAACGCTCGCGACCCCAGAGACTCGTGTTTTCTAACTAACTTTATGCGTGTGACGACCGCGCGCGCGTCTCCCGGGAAAGCGCGCAGGAGATTTCCGCTGGTGTTCATCGTGTCTAGTTGACAAAATGACACTCGGATAGACCGAACCGGATGCGGGGAAGGTGGTTCAGCGCATTTTGAACGCTCAGAGGACACGGTTTGCTTAGTGTCGGAGTTTTATGAGGACGCGAGAGCAATGACAGAACCTGAATCCAAGTCATGGAGCGTGTAACTGTGTTTCCAAAGCAGACGTTCAGTCAGCTGAAGGTTTTGTTTGGCAGAGATGGGCTCAGTGACCTCAGCTTTCACCAGGTCTCGCAACACGTTGGTCAAAGTGGGTTCGGAGCCGCAGAAAGAGCCGGACGGGAAAACGCGGAGCGGGTCTGGTGTGATCGTAAAGCAAAGTAGCAAACAACCGCTGGCGCGGAAGACAACCGGCAGCTGCAGAGCTCACACGCCACAAACTCCTGCTTCTGCAACAGGTGAGTTTCTGTCAGCTTCTGTCAGGAGTGGAGTATAGCATATTAAGCTGAAACTGCTTGTTTTGTTTATGTACATTAGCCCCAAAAGTAGTACTATTTGGAGTCCTATGACTCTCTTAACCATATTAAATACCAAAATATCAAACCAAAACCAAATGACATCCTTCCAGAAGAGCCCCCCCCCCCCCCCCCCCCCCCCCCCTCCCCCTTTTC